AAAAAAAAAAAAAAAAAAGATTTTTTTCCTATATTCATATAATTCATGCATATATTCTCACCTTAAAATTTCAAACATTACAGATAAAATGAAAATTTCCCCAGCTGCCTCCCCAGTCCTACCCATCCCATCCTGTTCCATCCTCCAAAGTGAGCGCTATTGACCGATATAATATCTATGTGCCTCCGTTTCTCCATTTGTAAAATGGGGATAATGATAGTGTCTATTTCATAGGGTTCTTGTGAAGATTAAATTCATTAGTGCCGGCTGGGCGCTGTGGCTTATGCCTGTAATCCCAGCACTTTGGGAGGCTGAGGTGAGTGGAGCTTGAGCCCAGGAGTTTGAGACCAGCCTGGACATAGTGAGACCCCGTCTGTACAGATAATTTTAAAAATTAGCCAGGTGTGGTGGTGCACTCCTGTGGTCCCAGCCCCTCAGGAGGCTGAGGCAGGAGGATTGCCTGAGCCCAGGATGTTGAGGCTTCAGTGAACCGTGATTGCACCACCACATACCAGCCTGGATGATCTCAAAAAAAAAAAATTACTGAGTGCCTTGCCCACGAAAAGCACTCTTGAAGAATTAGCTATTTGCTGTGTGTGCGTGACTATTATTTTACATATTTTACTAATACCATCTTTCCAGACTTGTTTTTCTATTATGTATATATCCATAATCACCTTAGTTTTCTTTAAAAGGAAGTATTTTTCAGATAATTTTTTTTCTCTTTTCATTTCTATTTTTATTTTTTGAGACGGAGTCTTGCTCTGTCACTCAGGCTGGAGTGCGGTGGTGCGATCTTGGCTCACTGCAATCTCGGCCTCCCAGGCTCAAGAGATTCTCCTGCCTCAGCCTCCCAAGCAGCTGGGATTACAGGCATGTACCACCGCACCCGGCTAATTTTTGTATTTTTAGTAGAGACGGGGTTTCATTATGTTAGCCAGGCTGGTCTGGAACTCCTAACCTCAAGTGATCCATCTGCCTGGGCCTCCCAAAGTGCTGGGATTACAGGTTTGAGCCACTGCACCTGGCTTTTTTCTCTTTTTAATAAAAGTACTTGGGGTGCCGTGTAGTGGTCTCAGCAGCGCCCTTGTTAGCTGTGCAGCCCACTAGCATTTCCTCAGCACCTGCTCTGTGCCAGCTCCAGTGCTAATCCCCTTACCTATGTGGCCCGTTGTGCGCTTCCCACCCGCTCTTCCTCAACCTGCTGGCTGCAGCCCCTCATCTGAAAATGACCTGGAAATCTGGGAGTACCATCTCAAAGGCGTTACCCTGTCCCCAGACTGTGCTGATCTGGAGGCCTGGGGGCTTCAGACTTTCTTAACTGCCCGGTTAACAAGCACCGGCTCTGGGGTCTCTGCCGGGAGGTCAGAGTCAGGCAGTGGAAGTTCCAGAATTAGAGACATTCCTTTCTCTTCTACAAACTCTGAAATCCTCATAATCCCTGCTTTGGGGAAAGAAATGACCGTTGTCCTGCCGGGCACTTGATCTTTGATCTGCCCACCTGGGCTGAGGTGCTGGCCACAGCCCTAGGTGGTCCCTGTCACACGCACAGTATGCATGGAGGGGGCGGAATCGGCAAAACCCACCGGAGAGGCGGGGCTTATGGACAAGTGCTGGGAGGAACCTCAGGCCCCGCCCCCACACCGAATGCCTGTCAGGGCCAAATGGTTCTCAACCTTCCGGCTGAGTTTTTATTTCCTATTTTCTTTTTTTTTCTAAATGGAAAAATCAATAGAGTGAGCCCAGCCTCAGCACTTAGGAAACCCTATATAGGTTGCGGTCCCTCAGAGCTGCGGGACCGTCAGCCTTGCTGGAGCCAGACATCCGCTGTGCCGTCCTCACAGCAGGGCCTGCTCCGAGGCCCCGGGGTGGGTCAGCAGCCCTCCTCAAACACCCTGGGAGTGCCCAGCAGGGCGGAACACATCGGGAAACCAACACCCCGAAGGCACAGGGAAGTATCCCTGGAGCTAAAAATAGTTCTGGAAATTTGCCAGGGGGCTATAGGATGGGACGTGCGTTAAGGCTCCCTGGCCAGGCTCTGGGTTGGTGTAGTGGGGAAGGGGCGCCCAGGTCGGCCCTGGGAGGACATGAAGAGGATTAGGCCGTGGGGTCTCAGACGTATTTACCCCTGCGCCTGGCAGCTGGCCTGTGGTGACAGGCAGAGCTGGAGGCTAGCCATCTTGGAAGGTGGCCGAAGGTCCATGTGTCCTCTTGGCCCCTGGCCCTGGAGGGCGGATGGGGATGTGGAGGTTGCTGACAGAGCATTTTCTGAGGTGTTGGGTCAGGGGCTGGGGGGTCTACAGTGCAGGAAAGCCCAGCAGTGTTGTTCACTCCCATGCATCTGTACAAAGGGGTGCTAGGTTTGGGAGGGGGCGCCTGTGTTCACAACCTCATCCCCAACTTGGCCACTCCTGGGTTAGAGACTATGCCAGGGTTGGCCTGCCCCCTGTACCTCTTCCCTGCCCCCAGAGAGCCTTGCTTGGCTTGTGGGAGGTGGGGAAGGGAGCTGAGAGCCCTGGGATCTTCAAACTGTTCCTGCTTTTCCTTGCAGCTAAGAGGCCGGTGTCACCATACAGCGGGTACAACGGGCAGCTGCTGACCAGTGTGTACCAGCCCACCGAGATGGCCCTGATGCACAAAGTCCCAGTAAGTGGGTTCCCCAGGTCCCCATGATGCAGCTGGCCTACAGACACCAGTCTCAGCAGGCCAGCGGGAGAGGGCCATGTGGCCAGAGCTGGGTTGGGTGGAGATGGTAGGGGGAAGGCAAGCTTCTCCATCTGGTGCTTCTACCTGGGGAATCCAGAGCCCCAGTTCTTAACTTCCTTGTCCTGGAGTCAGCGTACCCACCACCTCCAGCTGCACTGCAGTGGGACCCGCCCTGTGTCACTGGGGCATTGCACACAGGCTCTGTCAGGATGCTACAGGGAATGCTCGGTGAGCTCTCCCTGGTGGGAGCTGCCAGCTTTACCCTGGAGAGCTTGTGGAGGGACAAAGGAGGGTCTCAGCCAGGTGTTACCAAAATGGACCAGGATCCAAATGTTGCAGGTCTGGATAGGTGTTTCCTTCTCAACCACAGCTGTGCCCAGGGGGCCCACGACTCCCCTCCCGCTCCGGCAGGGAGCAAGTCTCGACCTTACACCTCCCCTGGGTTCTGGAAACTAGATGCTCCATTAGCCAGGGGAGGGGATGGGAGCAGGAAGACAGTGGGTTGGATTCTACTTGCTCCTGTATGTGTTCCTCCTCCCGGCTGGCAGAGGCTGTGGGGAGAGGTCAGTGACCCGTCTTGGCAAGACACTGGGAACAGGAAGCGAGGAGGTCAGCCGGGTGGCGTTCTCATCCCCCTCCCCGCCCTCTCTGTGAGAGCCGCAGGGCAGGGGGAGGCGAGTGTGGCTGAAGCTTCCAGTCCCAGTGCCTCCCCTCTCCCTGAACCTGAACCTGAGCCTGGGCAGAGGAGAGTTTCCGGAGGACCAGGAGTGGAAGCTGCGGGCCGCCAGCTCTGGTGGGGAGTGGGCAGCCACAGAAGCTTTTCCTGAGTAGCTTCCCTCACTGTTGTTGTGCCTCACTCCCCAGCACCTTTGGAGTCCGCTTCCTGGGGGATGATCTGGATGAGCAGGGATATTTTATCTGACCAGTTCTCAAAACATGGTACCCGGACCACCAGCATTAGCCTCACCTGGGAGCCTGCTAAAAGTGCAAAGGGGGCCAGGTGCAGTGGTTCACATCTGTAATCCCAGCACTTTGGGAGGCTGAGCAGGTGGATCACCTGAGGTCAGGAGTTTGAGACCAGGCTGGCCAACATGCTGAAACCTCATCTCTACTAAAAACACAAAAATTAGCCAGGCATAGTGGCACATGCCTGTGGTCCTAGCTACTGGGGAAGCTGAGGCCAGAGGATCCCTTGAACCCGGGAGGCGGAGGTTGCTGTGAGCCGAGATTGTACCACTGCACTCCAGCCTGGACAACACAGTGAGACTCTGTCTCAAAAAATAAATAAATAAGAAATAAAAAAAATAAAAGTGCAAATGGGACGGGGCCAGAGCTGGGATGGAGCTGACTGTTAGCATCCCTTCAGGGCATTGGCACCATGGGGGCACTACTAAGCGCAGATCCGCAAGCCCTGCTTTCAGCACTCCCTCCCCCAGCCCCAGTTGTTGCCAGCTGTGTGGGGCCCGCTGTGTAGGGTCCGGCTGTGAGTCGGTGAGGCTTATCAAGCAGTGTAGGTGATTCCAGTGCATACTCATGCGTGGATTGGGGCCACAGACGTAGATGTTCCAGGGGCCACGTGGACAGGGGCCATTGCAGACAGGGCTGAGGACCTCCTGAGCCTGATTGACTTGAAGGCTGGTTTGGGGCCTGGGAGCTACAGAGATTTGGTGGCAGCTCTTTCCCATAGGGCTAAGACAGATGGGGCCAGGAATTCACCTTCCCTCCAGCATGGGAGCCAGAACAGGTACCTCAGGACCCTCTTCACCTCACAGCTGGTGTCTCTCACCCACATGGGAGCAAGACCCAGCGCCAGGCAGAGAATTCAGGTTTCAAGACTCTAAATCAGGGCTGGATGCAGTAGCTCAGGCCTTTAATCCCAGTGCTTTGGGAGAGTGACATGGGAGAATTGCTTGAGGCAAGGGGTTCGAGAGCAGCCCTGGCAACGTAGTGAGACCCCCTCAATCTCTACAAAAAAAAAAAAAAGACTAAATCAGACTGGCCAGCCTAGATGCCTAGAGAGATGTGTGGGCACACCCAGCGCCATGTCCTCGGCCAGGGGAGCCAGCAGCTGTGATGCTGGGGGTATGGTAGTGACAGGCGGTAGCCTCGGGGTAAGATTCTTGGAGGAAGGGGCCTGGGAGCTATACCAGACAGGTAATAGCAGCTCTATGTGGCTGACCCTCCACTGGCCCTAGCATTTCCCTAAACAATTAGAAGCGGGAGGGGGCTTGAGAAGAAGACCCCCCTCTGTGAAGCCCCAGCACCATCCAGGGTCACCAGGGGCCTTGTTCCCATGCCCAGAGGCAGGGCAAGATAAGGGGCTCAGGTCTGGCTGTCCCAGGCCGCCCCTGGGGCCCAGCCAGAGGGGGCAGAGGGGCCAAGGGGGGAGTCGGGGGGGATCTGGCAGGCCCAGCCCTGCAGGAAGTGAGTGAGTGTGCATCCGCCCCGGCGGAACCTGGCTCCCGATCCCCGACTGTGAGACCGCCTGTTCTTCCTTCCAGTCCGAAGGAGCTTACGACGTCATCCTCCCACGGGCCACCGCCAACAGCCAGGTGATGGGCAGTGCCAACTCGACCCTGCGGGCTGAAGACATGTACTCGGCCCAGAGCCACCAGGCGGCCACACCGCTGAAAGACGGCAAGAACTCTCAGGTCTTTAGAAACCCCTATGTGTGGGACTGAGTCAGCAGTGGCCAGGAGAGGCGGGCGGATTTGGGGAGGGCCCTGAGGACCTGGCCCCAGGCAAGGGACTCTCCAGGCTCTTCCTCCCACTGGCAGGCTCAGCAACATGTGCCCCAGAGCTAGAAGGGCCTCCCTCTCTGCCAGTGTTCCGGTGGGTGTCCTGGATGTCCTCGCCCACTCCTCAGTGTTTGTGGAGTCGAGGAGCCAACCCTGGCCTCCTGCCAGGGTCACCTCCGCGGTCACACTCCAGCCAAATAGTGTTCTCGGGGTGGTGGCCGGGCAGCGCCTATGTTTCTCTGGAGATTCCTGCAACCTCAAGAGACTTCTCAGGCGCTCAGGCCTGGATCTTGCTCCTCTGTGAGGAACAAGGGTGCCTAATAAAAACATTTCTGCTTTATTAACTCTCGCTTTGGGATTGTGGTTTCTGAGCTGGGCTCCTGGTTTCTGATGAACCTCTCCTCCTCCATGGCCTGTGGGTGACTTCTCTTTCTTCCCTCCAAATCCAGCTCATATTTAAAGCTGCTGCAGATTTTTCCCGTGCAATGGAGTAGCTGATGCCTCTCCCCAGTGAGGGGTTCTTTAGCAGGTCCTCTGTCTGTATTGTGTGCAATCAGAATGAACACCCAGGCTCAGTGCGTGCCTAGGATGCAGTCCTACACCCGGGCTTGTCTGAGGTCAGGCAGCTTTCCTCTGGGAACCCCACTTCAGTGGCTGCAGGGACAGGACTGGGAAGGTGGGCCTTGAGCAGGTGGCTCTGTGTATAAGGGGAGATGAACTGATTTCAGCTTCTCCTGGGATGAATAACGGTGAAGATCCCATAGCGGACAAAGTAGAGACTCATTCTGCTCCATGCTTTGAGATCACACCGTGCGATACGTGCAAAGGAATGGCCTAGAGAGGGTCAGGAATTGTTTACAAATGGGTTGACAAAAGTGCAAAGGGTTGAGCCAGGTCCTGGTTGGGTTCGTTCCTGAGCGGTCATTAAAATGTCCATTTGTGCAGGGCGCGATGGCTCAAGCCTGTAATTCCAGCACTTTGGGAGGCCAAGGTGGGAGGATCACTTGAGCCCAGGAGTTCCAGACTAGCCTGGGTAACATAGTGAGACCCTGTTTCTACCAAAAAAAAAAAAAAAAAAGAAAAAAAGTGTTTTAATTAGCCAGGCATTAGTCCCAGCTACTCATGGGGCTGAGGTGGGAGGATCTCCTAAGCCCAGGAGGTCGAGGTTGTAGTGAGCTGTGATTGCACCATTGCACTCCTGCCTGGGCAACAGAGCGAGACTCTGTCTCAAAAAGAGAAAGTCAGTTTTCTCAGTACTTTATACTAAGCAAAAGCCTTTCCTCAGCAGCTCATTTTTTTTTATTTAATTTAATTTTTTTTTTTTTTTTTTGAGACAGAGTCTTGGTCTGTTGCCAGGCTGGAGTGCAGTGGCGCAATCTCAGCTCACTGCAACCTCCACCTCCCAGGTTCAAGTGATTCTCCTGCCTCAGCCTCTTGAGTAGTTGGGATTACAGACGTGTGCCACCACACCTGGCTAACTTTTTGTATTTTTAGTAGAGACAGGGTTTCACCATATTGCCCAGGCTGGTCTTGAATTCCTGGCCTCAAGTGACCTGCCCACCTCAGCCTCCCGAAGTGCTAGGGTTACAGGCACGAGCCACTTCACCCGGCCCATCAGCTCATTTTAATCCCCAAGGCTGCCCTGGAAGGTGGGCAGGACTAGTATGCTCTCCCTTTTCCCGACTCAAAATCGCAGAACTGTACCATTTTGGGGTGAGACAGGGCCTCAGAGTGGTCACACCGCCTCCTTTTACAGATAAGCGAACTGACCCAGAGAGGTCAGGCCAACCCCAACCAGGTTTTCCTCAGACTCTGACGTCCAGCAGCCTTTCTCCGTGGCCCACCTGGGTAAGCCAGTCCAGTGGGTGGCACTTCCAGCCGTCAGGATGAGACAGCAGGGTCCTGACCTTTGGATGCTGCTCAAGGCTTTGCCGGGGGCTGCCAGGCCTGCCCCGGGGAGCCTGCTCTTCCCAGGCTTGGGAATGTTTCTCCCCAACTAGTCAGAAGCTATTTTCTGATACCGGTTGTAGGGGAAAAACTGTTTTTGTTGAAAGGGACAGAAAAGTTGCTGGGGAGAAAAAAAAAAAAACTTGAAAGGGAGAGAAAGGTTGCTGGAAAAAAAAATAAACTTCTCCCAAACTTCTCCTTCTGTGCGCAGATTGCATCAGCCTCCTGGGGACTGAAACACTATTTTTAAGTAAAAACTAGTGCTTGGGCCCTGCGCGGTAGAGTCCCCTTTGACTCTTGTTCTTTCTGGTCACTTTAGGCTCAGTCCCCGCAAAGTAAAACGAGATGGTAGAAGCCCTCTTCCCGGGACCGCACGGCATCCTGATCCTCATTCCTCTGTACCCAGGCTGGGCTGGGCCCAGCACCTGTCCTGTCCTTGTCATTGAAGCTGGGAGGGGCCGGAGGCCACCGACCTGAAGCAGTGGACCGAGTGGGCCCTCATGAAGCCCTGAGTGTGTGACTGGAGCACCTAGGGCCACCTCCCTTTCCTGCCCAGCCCATCTTCCTGGTTCCCAGGTGGCTGCAGCTGCAAGGAGCTGTCCGCAGGCCCCCAGGCTGCCTCCAACTCCCCTCTTGACACCCTCCACCCCTCACCAAATCATAGCCCCTATGTCCCCAGGCTGTGGTTCTTCAGATTGCCATCCTCCCCTCTGTGAACAGCAGGCCTCAGTGCGCCATCTTGACTCTGGACCTTCCTGGCCCTGCCATCTTGGTGTCTGGCACTGGCTTGTCCCGCCCTCTGCCTAGATGGATCTCCTCCATGAGTCTTTGAGGCCAAGCCAGGGCAGCAGTTGGCCCTTGCCCTTCTCACCAGGGCCTCCTGCCACCACCTGGACTGTGGAAGGCCACTGAGATGGGGGCAGAGCTCAGCCCGAGGCTTGGGCACACTGCTTCTCTCCACGGCCTATGGGTCCCGGATCTGAACCCACTTGAGAGCCACTTGAGAGCCCCTGAGCCGTCCCCATCTTCCACGAAGCGGGTCCCACCAGCAAGCCAGGGCCAGCCCTGCCTGAGCTCTGCCCCCAGTGCCCCTCACCGTCTGGGATGAGGATGAGCATGCTGGGATGAGGGCTCTCTTTATCCAGCAGTGCCTCACGGACAGCTCACTAAGGAGTTGGGAATGGCAGGCCACCCTGGCATCTGGGGTTCAATGTGGCTCCTGTGGCAGGAACAGGTGTCCGTGACCCTGATTACCTGGATCTCACAGGTTCTGGGAATGCAGTAGGGGCCTGCTGTGGCTATTCCAACATCTCTGGTCAGGGCCTGGAAGTACCCTTAGGACACGTGGGGTTGGGGTTCGGACTGCATTCTCAGGGACCAGTGGAGAGCCCTGGACCCGATGAACTGGAGTCTAGGCCTCTCTCGTGACTGGGACTTGTGGGACGTGGGAGGCCTGTGAGACCGAGGACTAAAGATGATGCTATTTCCTGATGGGCAGATATGTAAGTGGGTAAGTGGGATCCTCAGGTAAGTGGGATCCAGGACTAAACACTGCTATTTCCTGATGGGCAGATGTGTTGAGTTTCTACCTCATCTTGAGCAGCACCTGGATGTGCTGGCGCCGGTTCATCACTGGAGGAGCCTCTTGTGTTCTGAGCCCTCAGACATGCTCCAGAGGATCCTGACGGTCACCCAGTGAAGAGGGTGCCTTCTCAGGACCTCCATGGTACTGGCACCGAGGACAGAGATGGGCACAGCTCCAGGCTTGTGGAAATGAGCTCTCTATAGCATTGTCTTCCTGGGGTTTTTCCTGCCCTTATCCAAGGTGGGCCCTAGAGCTCAGTCCCCAGCCCAGCAGCACCTCTGGGTGCCAGAGTGGAGGGTGACGACCAGAGCAGCTCTCTGGGGGGGGGTGCCCTGTAGTCAGTCCCACAGCCCTCCGGTGCTACTCCCATCCCCAGCAGCCTGTGCCTTTGTCACTGGCTTACTTTTCCAGAGCTAAATTGGGCGAGCAATCCCTGCAGAGTAGGACTGCAGCCCTGACTGTGGCCCCTGGCCTGTCTTTGTTGCTTGCTGAAGTCCATGAACAGAGTGTTGTTTCCCTCCAGTGGAAGGGAAGCAGGGAGCTCTGTGGACTTCACGCTGCGCTTGGTCTAGCTTAGCAGCCCCAAGATCCCTTAGTGAATCGAGGCGCTGCGTTGCTTTCCTATGTGATAATTTCAAAGGAGTCCCTGGCAGTGCCTGTTGCCCAGAGGCTGCGGTCTCCAGTGGACGCGGGTTTGTGTATAGCCTGAGTCCTCTGGGGGCTCAGCGCGTGAGGCTCAGGGTGGGATGGGCTCCTAAAAGATGCAGGCCTGCCTGTATTCAGGAGTACCCACCGGCCCTGCTTACTCCTGCCCGGGCCAAGTGGAGAAGAAGTTAGATGAGTTCTTAAGAGGAGACAGGTGGCTTCTTTGAGGTGGTCGAGTGGCATCACAAACAAGCATTGAATGGAAGAAAACTAGAAGAGGCAGAGCCTGTCGCAGGTTCACCATCATCCAGCCAACACCGTGGGAAATCTCACACCCACCACTGTCAAACCGAGGACTTTGGACTTCATAACTGCTCAGAATTAAATGACCTTACCCTCCGTGGGTGAGGGCTTACTGCCATTGAATTCCTGTGTGCTCATAAATTCTGGGAGTGACTAGTTTTTTTAAAATTATTATTATTTTATTTTTAGAGATAGGGTCTTGCTACGTTGCCCAGGCTGGTCTCAAATTCCTGACCTCAAGCAATTCTCCATTTCAGCCTTCCGTGTAGCTGGGATTCCAGGTGCCTGCTCCCCCACCCCCCACCCTGCCTCTGGGATTTTTTTCATGTGTATTTCCCTGCTAGTCCTCTTGCTTTTTATACCAACAAAGGCTGTTTGATTCCAACTAACCTTTTTCTCTGTTGGGGAAAACCAGGCCTCCAAAAACCACGGAGCTCTCAACCAGTCAAGGCCAGAGAACTCTGACACCTACACAAGATGTGAGTGGGGAGGGGGACAACCCCAATAGTATCCCTGTTGCTGCCTGGCATGGCTGGAAGAGGCAGCCAGGACACTTATTGGGTGAAATTCTCAGTGCACAGAAAGGCATACCAGAACCAGGGATGGCTGATAAATCCCCCGGGCCATGAAGACCTGCCGAGTGCCATGCCTGACTTTCCAGTTTACTCATGGCCCTGCACTTGTTCGTCAGCCCCTCGCAGCTCGTAGAAGAGAGCAAGCAACGGAGGGAAGTGCCTGTCCCGTGGGGGTGCTGCTCGGAAGGGTCTGTCGGCCCTCCAAGCCATTCTCGCCAAGGCCAGCATTTTCACTAGCCCCAGAGGATGCGCCAAGGTCAGGCACAGGTGCCAGGGACCAGAATGTGTT